GCCCGCAGTAATCAATTGTTTAAAGTACTCAATAGTATAAATTATGCGGCTGACTTATCGAGTCTGTCTGTGTATATGACGACATTACAAAAATTATTGAATTTTATTTGTCAATATGTTACATAGACCGTTACGTGTGGCTAATTTATAGTTTATAAGATTAAAAAATTATTTGTTTATTTTATATATAACGCCGAATATTCCTATCAATATTATAACAAGGCAATTTACTAATTTAAAATAATGGAAGATTCTATGTCTTGTGTTTATTTATAGATAACTTGTATAGGGCATTCGATATCAATTATAAATTACTTATTCATCACTGTATATTAATATACATTTATTTGGGTCCTTGATTATAAGCGAACAAGGCTTTACTAAATTTAATTTAATTATTATTTTGTCATTATTTTTCTATTAGTGTTTTCTAAGTTTATTCCATCGCTTATGTTAAATGCAAAATAAATATAAGTTAGTTCATTCAAACACTGTTTTTTTTTTTTTAAACATCCTAAATTCAGTAAATTAATTTTTGGAATAAAAAAATTGAATTCGAGTTCTCTCTATTTATATTTATATGGGCAAAATAATTAAATGAATACGTAAATATCAAGTTCAGGCAGGGTTTGTAATTATACAAATATTTTTTTATTTTTATTTTTATTTTTTTAATTTCAATATACCTTGTTTTTTATAATTTTTTTAAAATTCCTTTGTACTACCAATCATAAAACGCGATTTTTTTTACTCGTTTGTTATTCTTTCAATTATATAAATATCCATATTAATATTCTTAATCTTTGGTATTTTATTCAAACAAGAAATAAAACAAAAACCTTGTAAAGTAAGAACTCGAATAAAAACAAAAAAAGTCAATTTAATAAAAAAAATATATATTTTTATCTTTATTTTATAAACTTATTTTGGTAAATAAGGATCGCAAATTATAATCACCTTTATTATCGTAATAATAAAACAATAATTGTAATAAAAAAAAGTATCGATTAGTATAATAATGACGATAATTAATTATAGATATTAAAATAAATTATAAACTATTTCTCGTTTATTACGCGGCAGCAACTGCGGCACTATCTGTCTGTAGTCCACGGTGGATGACAGGCATTTACTTATTGGTGGAATTTAATGATAAATATTCATTAATAGTAAACAAGTTAAAATACATCCGATGTTTATTTATCTCAAAAGACCGAACTGTTTTCCGCGAATGTGCGGTTAGTTTGTAAAATTTTTTCAAAATATATATCACAATTATGTATGGATCTTATATAAGTTTTATCACTCACAATTTATTTTTTTTTTATTTATGGATATTTATATAAAAACGTCGAATCTATTGTGTCACACCCAATTTATTCCTCTTTCGAATTAAATATTAATGATCGCCATGTATCCTTCCCGAAATTACTAATTATGGAAAAATGAGCAACTATACGAAACAAACGAGTAATAAATAGCATATAGTAATCGAATGATGTTACTATTTTATTTATGAATCTTTATATAAAAACGTCGAATATATTCTCAAATTTGCAGAAGAAAAATCTTTTTTATTTTTTTATTTCAATAAGTTTATTTCTCAAAGAAAATTTTTTTTTTAAAAAAACAAACTGTTAATTGCGCCCATCATCAATT